AGAATTTTATAATTTTAATTATATATTTTATTAAAGATTATTTTTTTTTAAATATAAATAGCCAAACAAATAATTTTAAAATAATTTTTCAAGTTCAAAGATATGAAAAAGAAACAAATAGACGAATAGTGAAATATGATTTTAATTCTAATCATTTCACATGTACATATGAATATACTTAATTTTCAGGTTTTATATGTCAGCATATTTTAAGAGTTGAAATGCAACTAAATTTGAACGAACTTCTAACTAGCCTTTTTTATGAAAGATGGAGAAAAATCCAAGTAAAAAGAACTTATTAATAATTATATTAGATTATATTCAAATATAATTACAACTTTACAAGAATCATCAACGACTTTACAAGAATCAACAATAACTTTATCTAATGATAATCAAGATTATTAATATATGCTTACTCAATTATTACAAAAAATACAATGATTTGTAACGCAAAATCCTATATTAGCTATAACTTTTTATACTTCTTTTAATAAAGTATTTGTTTCTGAAATTGAAAAAGAAACACAAACACAATCTAATAATTCAAATATTATATCAACAGTAAAAAATCCATTAATCATTTGTGAAAAAGGATGACCATCTAATAAAAGAATTACCGGTGTAGAAGAATCAGCTAGAAAAACTAAAAAAAAAGAAGAAAATTAATGAAAATACCAATAATAATATATTAGAATCTATAATTGATTTAGATAATTATGAATTTATTTTTATAGCGCAAAATACAGTAACACAACTATTAAATGAAATTCAAAATTTATCTTCTCCACCTATTACTCAATCTCCACAGTTTTTTGAATCTAATGTTTTTTCTAATAAATCAAACCTAGGTAAGTGTATTTAAATTTATATTTAATGAAAAATATTTTATTCTAATATATTATTTTATTAATAATTATTTAGAAATATATTAAAATAATAATAATTGTTCATATTGTAATGAAACATTATCAAATCCATTGCCATTGAAAGTATTGGAATATTTAAATAATATTTCAATAGAAAAAAGTATGTATTATATTAAATTTTATATAAATGCCTTTAATAATATAATATAGTCTAATTTTAAACTTATATTATAGTATCTGCCAATTCTATAATTGAACAATATAAGTTTTATCGAGTTTATAAAGGAGAAGAAATAATTATTCCTTATGGAAATAGAAAAGTATTTCCATTATATATAAATTTTGCAAATTTATCTAATCGGATTACAAATTTGAAATCAGAATTACTAAAAATTATAAAAGGACAAAAATATAGTGAATATCGCGTAAATGTAATTAAAAAAATTCAAGAAATAGAATTATCAAAAGTCAATAATCTATTAATTCAAATTAATTATTTTGAATCTTTACAAGTAAGTATAAATCAGAAATATATTTTTATTTAAAAATATGAAATAATTTAATCAATTATATTTTTTTTAGCCTGGATATTATGGACTTAAGGGCTTAGCGATTATCTTAAAAATTTTAACTGAATTATTTATTCAAATTGAAATACTAACTGTAGATCTTTGTATTCCGCAATCTTCATCCCAATACTTATTTCAAGTTTTGGTTCCTGAAACTGCTATTAGACTTATTGCAGAGGATTATAAAGGCATTTCTTTAAATGATACAAAAGAAATAATGATTGATAGTGTTGATTTTGGTTTATATATTCATGATGATAATTGTAAAAATTAAAATTAAAAAATTTTAAAGATTTTTATATTTGCTTAACTAATTATTTAAAAAATGTAAAATATTTATTTTAATATTATTGCTATCAGAATAAAAAAAAAAATATAATAATAATAATAATTTTAAGATAATTTGTAGTTTATTATTTAATTAAAAAAAATATACATTTATTAAGTATAAAAAAAATAAAATATAATGCATATATACAATAAATTCTATATAATGTAATTTTTTGATTTTAAAAGAAATATAAAATATTTCAAAAACAAAACTATATAAATAAAATAATGAAAGTGTTAACATATTTTTATGTAGATAAACAAACAAATTTTTCTTTAGAAAACTAATTTAAAGATTAAATTGTACATTATCTCTAAAAAATCTAATATTTTCTTTAATAGGAATTAAGTAAGAAATGCTTTAATTGCTCGTTTAAAAAGATTGCCCTTACCCACTATTAAAATATTATAACTTACTAATATATATCATCTTTAGTACTGTCCATAAATGTTGAATGCAAATCACCCTTAATCCCGCTAAAGTTTTCAATAAATATATTCAGTACTATATATAAGTGATAAATATGAAGTCTTGTCTTTTAATTTCATTAAAGTATCAATATTTCATCTACAGTATTATCCAGAAATTTTAAGTAAAACTGTTCGTTCTTGTTTTTAATTTTATTTATTAAATTAGTTTCATTTTTTGTCTTATTTTTAAAGGAAAAAAAAATTCCAATTTATCTACCAATTTTGGAATTATTAAAAAAGGAGGGAGATCTAAGTCAATTTGCCTAGACCCTGAGGGTCTATAATTTTCACCCTGAATCAAGAGTCTAGGATAAGGACGCTCTTAAAATTATATAGTAGTTAATCATTTTCTAAATAGTATATTAATCATATTTATCATTTCCAAATTCTATTTTTAGCTATTTATATTTTTAATATTAAGTTAAAGTACTTTAAAAATTTAACCAGTTAAAGTTATTATAGCATAGATTAATATAAAACAAAAATTTCAATTTTAATAAAAAGGTTTCAGGTTCTATTTTCCTAGCAAATCTCCTATATGATCAACCTTTTCAATTAATTCTTCAATTGCTCCTTTTTGTATAAGAAAATCAGGTTCTAAAGGTATTATTCAATGAGCATAACAAGAAATTTTTGAAGGATCATAAACTTTTTTCTTTACAATTTTTATATTCTAATATTAATCTTTCAGATGATCATTTTTATCTTTCTATTAATACTTGTTTAATTTCTTTTAGTTTACCTCAAAATTTTTCATTATAATGTGTAGCTGAAAATACCATTAATTGTGACTGTTGATTTAGTCTAAAATAAGTATTATATATAATTAGTTACTTATCACCAGGATTTAATTTCATTCAGCTTGCAATTAAAACATCTTTTTCAAATGCAACATGATTAGAACTATTATTGAAGGCAAATATCACTATACAATTTGAATACAATATCTTAAAAATAGGAATAACTTTATATTTGATTTGTTTAAGAAGATAATCAACTGTTCAATAACCTTCTTGATTTTTACCAGGTTTCAAATAGTATTGTACTTCTTCAAATATATTTAGATTTGTAATATAACTGCTTGTTATAAACACAAATATCCATTAATTTCAGTAAGAAACTCACTGATCATTATAGATCTTCTATTCATGTTTTTCATAGTAACAGTTCTATATTTTTGGTTTAAATTTCACATTTACTATTATTAGAATAAAAAATACACTTATTATGAGTTATAAGAATTTTTTCTTTTCTTCTTCAGGTAAGTTCAGATATATACAATCTATTATTTCACTTTCATACTTAGACATATATTTCTCATATTCAAACATTTTTTCTAAAAATACTTTACCATATTATAAAACATCATCTTGTTTGTATTTATCATAATATACACCTTGATAATGAATAACTAAAAATATTAAATCATCTTGTTGTAGTCATTAAAGAAATAGATTTTTTTTTGTAATTCTGATATCAAGCAATAGCTTCTTTTTAACAAATTTTTTAAATGTAGCTAGTGTAGCTTTAAAATTTTGCTTATGAACTCAAATTCAACATTTTTCGGCTATATCTTCATCATCAATTAATCTAATAGTTTTTTGATGCTTTTCATATTTAGATATCAGAAATTTATTATTATGTAACCAGTAATTTATATCATATCAGATACATTACGCTTTTCATGATCATCATCAGTAAAAATGATTTTAGCTGCTTCTAAATTAACATTTATTTTTTCATTATTTAAGCAGATAAGATATTTATAGATAACTCTTTTTATTATATTTAGTAACAGTCATTTTATTATATTGCTTTTCTAATTATTCTTTTAGACTTTGTATTCTTTTATCGATTTGGTAAATATCTTTATTGATGATTTCATTTTTTAAATTACTTGAGATTTTATTAGGTTATATAATTGTAATTTGATTACTAATTTTAAAAAAAACTCATAATTTTTTTAGTATTAACGGCTTGGTAAATGAACCAATTGATCCATATTTTCATAATAACTTAATCTTAAAATCTTTCCTATTATATTGACCACGTTTTATTTTTTCTAATTCACTTTCTTTCTTTCATACTAATTTAAGTTCTTTATTTTTTAGGTTTTGTATTTCTTTAGTAACATTATCTTTATCATTATTATCCCAATCATTATCTTTGTTATCATCCCATTCTTTTTCACCAAATTCTTCTTTACCAAAAAATTCTAAATTTATACTAATATTACTTTCATTCGTAATCTTACCATCCATCACTATAAGAATAAATGAATCATTATTACCATAAAGACTAAACAAATCACTATCACTAGAAGTACCAAATGAACCATCATCACCATAAGGATCATATGAACCATCATTACTATAAGTATTAAATAAACCACTATCACTATAAGAATTATACAAATTATTATTATTATAAAGACTATATGAACTATCATTATTAAAAGTATTAAACAAATCACTATTATATAAGGATTACACAAACCATCATTACCATAAGGACTAAATAAATCATTATCACTAGAAATATCAAACAAACTACCATCACCATAAGGATCACATGAACTATCATTACCATAAGAACTAAACGAATCATTATTATCATAAGAACTAAATGAACTACCATCACCAGAGGTACCAAATGAACTACCATCATCAAAAGGATCAAACGAACTACTATTATTATAAGAAGCAATAATTGCAATATTTTTTTACAATTGTTGTTAATTAGAATTAAAAATTCAAGTTGATTTTGATCATCTATACTTAGATATCATGCTTTTTTGTATCAAATTTATCATCTACAGTATGTTTTCAAATTTTTTTGATTTTCTTTTTTGTTTAAAAAGAGATGGTATTTTTAATACAATAAAAAATAAATTGAAACACATTCAAGATAATGGTTTAATGTAAAATGCATAATTAATTTTATTAATTTAATGATTTAAAATATGGTTACTATTACATTTTTAGGTTTAGTGTGAAACACAAATAAAATTTGCAATCACATATTTTGACTGTCTTTATTAATATTGACAAAAATTCTATAGATTTAAGAAGAGAATTTTTGAAGAAATCTATTTTATAGAAAGGAAATCTTATATTTATGAATTTCTTTATTATCAATATTTATTATAGTTTATTAATTAAATATATTATACTAACATTGATTGATCATAAAAAGTATAATTTAATTATATTTATTTATGATTAAATATATCACACTAACATTTATTGATCATAAAAAAGTATAATTTAATTACTAGAAAATAGAGTTTTAAATGAGTCAAGTCGAATTGAGTTTAAAGACCAACTCTATTTGACTTGTTTTTTTCAAGTTGAATCAAGTCAAATTTATTTTATAAAATTTTTTGATTTAATTTGATTCGAATTATATAAATTTTAAACTCAACTCAATTTGACTCGATTCGATTTTAATTTGATTCGATTTTGACTTGAATTTATTCAAATTGAGTCAAGTTCAAATCAAGTTATGAGTCAATTTTAAATTTTTATAAACATTTAATTAATAAAAAAATAAAATAAAAAATAATAAAAAAAAAAGAAAAGATCGGAGGGAGGGAGGAGGGGGGAAAAGAAAAGGAGCAAACGATTTGTTATCATTTTTCTTGAACGATTTTTTTATCATTCAAGTCGAATGATTTGTTATCATTCAAGTCAAATGATTTGTTATCATTCTTTTAGAATGATTTTTTTTATCATTCAAGTCAACTCAAGTCAACTCAAATCAAGTCGAGTTTAAATCGAGTCGAGTTAAATATTTAACTCGACTTGAATTTGACTTGACTCGCAAATCATCAAATCAAAAAAACATAAACTCAACTTGATTTAAACTCAACTTGGCTTATCTACTCGTGAGTTAACTTGATTTGTCTAAAACTCTACTGGAAAATATACGAATATAAATTTTTCAGACTTGTTAAATTATGTAATACAGTAATTAAAAGAAAATATCATATGATATATAATCACTTAAAAATTTCACATATTTTTATTAGCAAAATTGCAAATATACCCCTGTAAATACCCATGTAAAGTCAGTCTGAAATCAGCTAATTATTAATAATATATCCAACTTTTAAACTCTGATAACTTTTTAAATAATTATTCATTCAAAATATAAACTGATTTTTTAAAGATCATAACCTAAACTATAAAAAAATCAGTTTATTTTTTCAATAATATTAAAATTAAAAAACAAGTTACAATTTGAATTTAGATTAAATTTTTGATAAATATAGATGTTATGCATCATAATTATATATTTATTGATCTAATTTTTCAGAAAATAAAAAAAAAAATTTATATATAGCATATTAAAAAAATATTATTTTATAATTTATAATTGTTGTATTTTTTTATTATTATATTTAATAAATAAAATAAACTTGCTAAAGAAAAAATAATTCTTTTAATAATTTCCTTGTAAAATTTTATTCTA